TTTTATTGTGCTTTAGGTGAAGGTTTACAGAGCAAATTAGTTTCTCATTAATTAATACACATATTGTTTTGTGATATTGGTTGCCGACCCCATGACATGTCAACACTCTCCCCTCTCAACCTTGGGTTCCCCATTTCTATTCGTCCAGCTTTCCTGTCTCCTTCTGCTTTTTCGTCCTTGCCCCTGGGCTGGTGTGCCCATTTAGTCTCATATACATGGTTGAGCTGCGTGTATTACTGTTTATTTTATGGGCCTATCTAATCTTTGGCTGAAGGGTGAATCTCAGGAGTGACTTCAGTACTGAGTTAAAAGGGTGTCTAGAGGCCATAGTCTCAGGATTCTCCAGTCTCCTTCAAACCAGTAAGTCTGATCTTTTTTTGTGAGTTAGAATTTTGTTCTACATTTTTCTCCAGCTCTGTCCAGGACCCTCTATTGTGATCGCTGTTAGAGCAGTCAGTGGTGGTAGCTGGGCACCATCTTGTTGTGGTGGTGGTAGCTGGGCACCATCTTGTTGTGCTGCACTTGAGAGATTAAGTTTCTAGCAGGGCTTCGACCTGTAATTTCTCCTGTTCTGGTTATGGTTCTGGTTTACCCCAATTTTAAAAATTCGGGTCTGTCCTGGTGTCACTTCCTCGGCCATGACTGAACCAGGAAGAACCAGTTCAAAGCCCTGCCTAGACCCCACTCCAGAGATTTCTGGTTTAATTGATCTGGGGTGTGGCCTGGGCACTGAAAGCTCCCCAAGTGACCCTACTGTGCATCCAAGATTAAGAACAGCTAGCTTTACAGCAGAGGACTATGTCTTACTCTCCCTTGCACTCTCTTATTATTCACATTATTATGTAGTCTCAATTAGTTGAACAAATAAATAAGACAGTAACCTTGTGGAAGGTTGTTGAAGCTTCAAACCTAAAGCCCACAGAGATTAATACCTTTGATTTGTAAGGTTCTTTATAGCCTTTGTTATGAACTGAATTGTGTCCCTCCAAAATCCTGGCCCCTATACCTGTAAAAAGGAGCCCTTGTAATGCAACCGTTAAGCTGCTAACTGAAAGGTTGGTGGTTCCAACCCACCCAGAGGCTCTGCAGGAGAAAGACCTGACTATCTGCTTCCATAAAGATTATAGCCAAGGAAACCCTATAGGGCAGTTCTACTCTGTCATGTGCAGTTGCTGTGAGTTGGAATCAGCTCAACGGCACCCAACAACAACAACATACCTGTAAATATGATCCTGTTTGGAAATAGGGTTTGCTTTGCAATGTTAATTAGGCCATACCTGAGTAGGGTGGGTTCTAAATCTGATCTCTTCTGAGTTATAAAAACAGCAGATTACATGTGGACACACACAGATGCCATGTGAGGACTGCTACAAGGCAAGGAATGCCGAGGAACCAAGGAATGCCTGGGGCTACTGTCTTAGCTTCCTAGTGCCACTATAACAGAAATACCACAAGTAGGTAGCTTTCACGATTTATTTTCTCACAGTTTAGGAGGCTAGAAGCTCAAATTCAGGGCACCAGCTCTAGGGGAAAGCCCTGTCAGCTCTAAGGGGAAATCCTTGTCTCAGCTTCTCTAGTGTTCTTCTTGGCATTCCTTGGTGATCTCCATATGACATGTATCTTTCCCTCTGTACTTGCTTCTCTTTGCCTACGCAGTTCTTTTAATCACTCAGAAGTGATTGGATTCAGGACACACCTTACAGTAATATGGCCTCATTAACATAACAAAGAAAATCCTATTCCTAAATGGAATTATATCCATAGGAACAGGGGTCAGGTTTCCAACATGTATTTAAGGGGGACAGAATTCAATCCATAACAGCTACCGATAAGGAATCGGCATGGCTGAGACCCTGATTTGAACTTTTAGCCTCCAAAACTGTGAGAAAATAAATCTCTGTTCTTTAAAGCCACACACTTGTGGTATTTGTTACAGTAGCACTAGGCAACTAAGACAGAATTTGGTACCAGGAATGGGGTTCTGCTGTAACAAATACCTAAAATTGTGCAAGGGGCTTTGGAATTGGTAACAGGCAAAGGCTGGAGAAATTTTGATGCATTTGATAGTAAGAGCCTCAATTGCCTTGAAGAGACTATTGGTAGAATTATGAACATTAAGGGTGATTCTGATGAGGGCTCAGAAAGAATTGCGAGCTGTGGGGAAAGGGCTATCGTCATGAACAGAATGTTGCTAGAAATGTTGTTGCTTTAAAAGGACATGACGAACATGTTATTGGGCATTGGAGGAAAGGTGGGAGGAAAGAGAAAGCTTTAGAAATGAACTGTACAGAACTTAAAAGATTTGGAAAATTCTATCGTAAAACCTAAGAGCACATGTCCTAGAATTGACACCAAGGGTGTGGCTACACAATCTTTTGCTAAAGAGATTAGGCTTGTGACTGATGGTCTAATTAACCACCACCTCAGAAATCTTGTCAGTTTAGGCTGAAAGAGAGACAGAATGAAATTAAGGAAAGCTATCTGCTTCCTGGAATTCTAAAGGCAGAAAACAGGGCAATAGAGCTACTTGGTTGAGAACATCTGTTGTCCTTCAAGAAAAGGAATGATCCCAGGAGTAGCCTGGAGATCAGCAGGACTGTTGCAAGGAGCACAGGCTGCTGTGCGGGTGGGCCAGGAGAACTGGCTGCCCATGGCTGGGGGGTGGAGTTACCATCCCTGTGGGCCTGCAGGGTGGGACTGACTCCCAGGGCTGAAGGCCCTCAACCTAGAGTCTAGAGAGTGTGGCCAGTGCCCAGAGTCTGGAGGTCATTGCCCAGATGTGCTGGGAGAGCAGAGGATTATTTCAAGCCTGGAGAGAGCTAATGAGATTTGCCCTGCTGGATTTTGGACTTCCTTGGTTTATCTATGACCACTCCTTTCCCTCCCATTTCTCCCTTTTGGAATGGAAATGTCTACCCTGTTGTCTGTTCCACCATGTTCCACTCTGGAAGCAGATAACTTGTATTCTAGGTTTCATAGGTCCACAGATGGAAAAGAACTTTGCCCCAGGATGGAATACACCCATACTTGATTTAGCTGATTCAGAATATGAGATTTTGAATTTAAAGCTGATACTGGAATGGGTCAAGAATTTTGGGAAGATGTGATAGGGTAAGTATGTTTTGCATGTTGGAAGGACATGGATTTTGGGGGGACCAAGGGGTGGAATGTTATGGATTGAATTGTGCCCCCTAAAATATGTATTGAAATCCTGGTCCTTATACCTGTAAATATGATCCTGTTTGGAAATAGAGTTCTCTTTGCAATGTTAATTAGGTTATATCTGAGTAGGGCAAATTCTAAATCTAATCACCTCTGAGTTATAAAAAGCAGATTAGACACAGACACACATAGGGAGAAGGGGAAGACAGAAGATGGAGACAGATACATCTACAAGGACTGCCGGCTGCTAGAAGCTGAAATAGACAATGAAGGACCACCCTCTAGAGCCATACCCTAAATTTGGACTTCCTAGCCTCCTGAACTGTGAGAAAATAAATTTCTGCTCTTTAAAGCCACCGATTTGTGGTATTTATGTTATAGCAGCACCACGTAACAACAAAGACAGCTTTGCTTCTCAAAGTGTGACCCACGGACCAACATAGCATTATCACCTGGGCGCTTGTTAGAAATGTAGAACTCAGGCCCCACCCCAGAGTTTTCCATTTTAACAAGATCCTCAGGTGGTCTGCATACAGAGAAAAGTTTGAGAAGCACTGCTTTATAGTAGTTATCAGTCCCTCAGTGAGCAGCCCTGAATGGTAGGCAGGTATTATGATGTCCATTTCACCAGTGAGAGAGCTGAGGGTCACAGCTTTGCTCAAGGTCACACACTTAAACTAGAACCCACCTCCTGACTCAGTCTAGTGTCTTTCCGCAATGCCATGCTAATCCAAGAGAGAAGACCGCATTGCAGATGAGGACCCAGGACAAAAAAGTTGGTGCAAGAGATCCTGTAAGGTTTCTCTTTATGCGTCCATTGATACAATGTCCCCTCGGGCTCTATTTCTCCATATGTTGCAAGAGAACCATTTCAGAATCACCAAGTGTCTCCTAGGCAGCCATGAAATTTTGTCTGAGTTATCCTATCAGCCTCTTAGCTGGAGTCGCAGGGATCATGGCGTTGCGCTGACCCTTTTCAAATACTGAAGTGTGCCATCTCAACGACTGCAGAAGCCCAGCATTTCCCTGGCCTACCCGACACATGCAGCACCAGCAGTAAGACTCACTCGTGGGCTTGGTCCTGAACCACTCACCTCTACTGTCTGCACTGAATTCCGACTCACTCCTACTTTTCCAGCTTTCCATCCAAACTTTCTCCACACTTGCTTTCCTACCAGGCAGACGTGGTGCCTTCAACAGACTCCCCAGAGCACAGGCCCTGTTCAGCTCCTGCTGACCTCATAATCACACACACGACAAAATTTCATACATAGCAAATTGGTGAATTTTCTCCTCAAACTTAACTCTACCCCTTCTCCTAACTTGCCAAATTCAGGCTAAAAGACCACCAGAGGAAAGCAGCTACCGATTTTAAATACCAATCATTCCTCCAGAAAAGACAGCAACATCACTAGCGTGAATGAGATGATGGAATTTTCTGGTCATTTTCAAACCTCTTAGCTAATCAGAACTAGAGGCGCTTCTGACTCCAATGCCAGCTTGCGGTGCAATGGATCACTTTTGTAGGGCCTTTGTGGGGCCTTTGTAGACATGGTCTTGTAACTCCTACCCAAGTGATTGGGTGCGACTCTGTGATAGGGTAATTGTGGCCCACCAAGGGGACTGGTCTGTTTTGCCATCCCGCTGGGCTTGAAATGAGCTATCCCAGAGGCAGGGAAGAGAGGATCCCACCACCAAGAACAGCCAGGAGCGGAGAGCATGGCCTTTGGACCTGGGACGCCCATGCTGAGAAGCTCTTGGACCCAGGAGACACAGCAAGCTGTAATCCTGAAGACGGCAAGAAGCAGTGGCAGGAGAGACCGCACAGTGGGTTTCCCGCCTCACAGAGCGAGATAGCCGGTACTCCGCGTCCGTCTTATGAATGAACGACTTGTATATACAGGTGATTTTAAAAGGCATGGTTCTTTTGATATATAATTTTATTAGAGCCAGAGGTGATCATTTCTTCCAGAGAGATAGCCTGAGTGCCTTTGGGCACAGGCAGAGGGCCAGGGAGAGGCATGCCTGCAAGCACAGCTGGGAACAGGCTGCCCTGACGGAAAACCTATATCCTTAGTGTTCCTGAGCCTGAATTGTACCTGTTACTTCCCTAATAAACCCCATAATCGTTGAGTATTGTCTGTGAGTTCTATGTGGCCATTGCAATGAATTATCAAACCCAGCAGAGAAGTAGGGAGTGCCGTGGGAGGGATCATTGGTGTCAGACTTTGTCAAAATGGTGGAGAGAGGAGGCATGTCTGACCTCCGCCTCATAGGAATCGGGTTCGACTGTTGAGCTTGTGAAGTTAGAGGAGGTCAGACACCTCCCCCACACCGTTTTTACACAGCCCTTGCATCCTCTCCCGCTTTACCCCGTACATGTGGAGAATAGCGACTTTTCACTTTAATGTCTTTGGCACCAATGTTTAAATTCAGCCAGCATTACAGTAAATATTTTTATTGTTAGTTTTACCAGAAAAACTTGTATATATAGGTGATTTTAAAAGCCATGATTCTTTCTGATATATAATTTTATTAGAGCCAGAGGTGATCATTTTTTTCAGAGAGAGAACCTCCAGGGTTAGAATGGAAGACAATAAAAAACAGATTTCACTTTATAATTTACTGTTATCAAACCATGCTGGGGCACGTTAATTCCATCATGAGTGTGATTTACATTATATAAGAAGTCAGTAATAGACAACACAAGCCAAAAACCTTTATTCTCTAATTTCAAGTCAAATACCAATTTCCTTAAAATCTGAAGACAAAATAAAAAGTGTTTCAAATAGCAGCAATCAAACACTATATACGTCTGTAATGAGGTACAGTAGTCAACTTTAAGCCTCATGTTTGCCAGGGTTTAGCTGAAATTACCCTCACTAGTTTCTTAGATTTTTGTCAGTCTTGTTTTGGGGGATATTTTGCCTTATCAGGCCTTAAGCAGAGAACACTTTTCAAACACGTTAATAACCCATACTGGAATAAGGTACAGATGGTTTTCTAACTCTTTAGGGGCGTGAGTTCCTATGAACACAAGTGAGTACCCCAGGTATCTCTGAGCTGGGCAGTTTCAACAAGATCATTTTCCCTCTGGGGCCAAGGTCTGTGGTTTGATCTTCCTAGCAGCTTCCAAAACAGAAACTGGGTTTACTTTGTCTCCAAATTCTTTCTCTCGGTGCTCGAGAAGAATGCCCTGAAAGGAAACAAGAGGGAATGTCAGTCCTCACCGTGGGGACACCGGCTCTCTGTCAGGCTCTGTGCTGGGCAAGGACGCAGATCCACGAGGCCTGGCCCTGCCCCCAGGAGTTCAGCCTGAAGGGGAAGGCAGACACGGGCACCAGGCTGCACCACAACACGAGGTCTGTACAGTAGCACTTGGGCGGCAGGAAGTCACAAAGGTGATGAGGAAGGCTGCATAAATGATACAGCACTCTGCCTGGCTGGCCCACAGAAGGTAAGAGAACAGAATGAGCTAACGCCAAAGAGCCCAAAGGTGTGAAGTGGGGCTCCGAGGTCAGGCTCTGAAAGACCATCAGAAAAGTGGGAGCTTCTCTTTCCTTTAGTCTTCCTTAGAAACTAGAGCCCGCTGACTTGTGATGAAGCCAGATGCTTCAAGGTGCAGAATACCATACCCCAAAGTCATCCGAAAGTGGTAAAAAAGATAAAGGAACGTGTTTGAGACCAGCATCAAGCAATCTTTGTTAAAGAGTTGTTTGACCCATTATGTACAACTGGGAACTCATTTTAAATAAAAAAGTAAACATCTGTAAATATGCTCACTATGGAAGTCCCAAGCATGCTGTGGTGACGACAGGGAGGCCAATCAGGATTTCTGATCTACCTGCTCAGTCAAGCGTTACGCAGTCATTAAAACTCGGAGCAAGACCACGTAATGACATGGAAAAATGTTCACAAGACACTGCTAAATGAAAACAGAACATCTAGTCCAGTAAGACACCCTTCTGTAAAATAACCAAACAGAAAGCTCTGTTCTGATGGACGGTCCACAGGTGGCTGAGCTCAAAGAACAGGCCCCCACTCCCCCCACCCCCGCTTTCCACTGCTCTGTTGTTTTCAAAATCCCTATAGTGCACACCTACCGCTTCTTCAAAGATGATTCACACAAAGGCAATCCCCACTGAGCGGCACCTGGCACAATGGGACTGCAAAACCTGCTCCCAGTCAAACTTCCACCAGGGCAGGCGAGGGGCAGGGCCTCCAGGGAGCACCAACAGAGTCAAACAACACACCCAGCAACACCAGGAGCATGCCAGCCAGCTCAGAGAGCCCATGAGCACCAAGTGAGTCATGGCCAGGCAAGAGGCGGCTGGCCAGGGGGCCGTGCCCTGCCCCGGGGGTTGCGGGGAGGCAGAAATGGAGAGTGGGCAGGGACCCCAATGCCACAGCAGGAAGAGGCTAAGCCTCGAGGAAGTTGCCTGCCCAGGTGTAAGGGTACCTGGAAGGGCTCTTGGGAGCCATCCGGAGAGAGGCTATGGGCAGGAAAGGGCAGGGTCCCTGGAGCAGGGCAGATCTGAGCTCCACTAGACCACTGATTAGCTATGAGTCTTTGAGTTATTTCATATCTCTAGGCCCACATCCTTACAGGTAGACGGGGATAAAAATACCTCACATTCCCGACTAGTTGTGAGAAGAGGATTGATCATGTGTATGACTACCTGGAACAAGGCAGACGTTCACGGCGGCCATGATTACTAAGACCTTCTGATATACATATGAAATAGATCTGGCCAGGCCATCAAGGACAGACAGAAGAGAAAACCAGAAAATCAGCACATATGTCTATGCTCAGTCAGAGACCGCATCATGCTAGCTTTTGATACAGACAAGCTGTACAGCTGCCAAGGTTTAAAGGGCAGAGATTATAAAATAAAGCTTACAATGGGAGGACTTCTATTCCCACTAACTAAACGGGGACAAGTCTACCACTACCAATGACAGCAGTGAGCGCCACCCAGGCAGGCCAAGCCTGTCCTCAGAGATGGGGCCAAACGCCAGCGCCGCGCCCCAGGTTGGCAGCCACGGGCCTGGAGGACGGGCCTGGAGGTCAGGCTGTGTTTCCCCTGCACCTCTCTCCTTGCACTTGAGCCCACATCCACCTCACCCAGTCCCCGCTACACGTCCACCCAGCCTCTGCCTGCACCCCCCGGGGCAAAGCTCCCCTTGGCTGTCTGTAATCTGCGAGGCACACCTGCTACCTGCCTCTCAGCCCACAGAGAGCTCCCCTTTCCTCTGCAGAACACCCCCAGGGCCCAGGCCGGCTCTTCATCTCCATAGCAAGGAGCTGGTTCCTCGCCAGGGCAACCCTGACACCAAGACCCTCGCAGGGAAAAGCAGCTCTCCCCACATCTCTTTGCCACTTCCCCCAATTAGGTCTGTTTTCATTCCTTCTTTCCTCTTCACTTTTCCCACCATCTGTCCTTGGTGGCCTGGGAACACTACAGGGAACTGACTCCCTGACGGAGACCCAGGTAGCACTGCCGATAGGATGGGCTTCGGTGTGAGGACAGGAAACAGAAGCCGGGGTTCAGTACCCAGCAGCACCGCCGATCACCTGGGCTCCATGTGCGGCCACCCGCCCCGGTCTCAAGTTCCTTGTCTGAGAAACGGCCAAGCCGTCGGCACCCCTCTGTACTGAGAGATCGCGTATGTGAGACTGGATGTTTGAAAGGTGACAATTCCCTTCCCTGTCTTCTCATATTCCTTGGCTTTCTGGAAGGGAGGCTGGGAGACCTGAAGTATGGAAAGTCAGCCCCGCCTGGGTATCCCGCTCACAGACGCAGACATGCACAGACACGTAAATGAACCCCTAGGAAGTTACCTGCTTTCCCGATCCCACCACAAAAACTCCTCCAAGGATAAAACCTTCGCCTTCTAGGTTTCCAGAGAAGCCTCCGTTCCGGGCCCGGAAGAAGTTGGACCAGACACCCAGACGGACAAATCCCATAAACATCATCTTCCGCCTTTGGGGACCGTAAAACTTTTTCTGCAGGAACAAGACAGATAGAGCCCACATCAGTAGCTGACTGCCTGCCTTTCCCTGAAGGAAAGGTTCTGAATAGGGCATTCCCCTCAGGCAAAGACCCAGCCTGCCAGTTCACATCCTCCCTTCCACCCAACACAGAGACCCGTCCAGGAACACCCTCGACCTGGCCGAGGAAACACAACACCCTCCTGGGTGCAGCTTCCGACCGCAGGGCAGGCCTGACCTAGGGGAACAGGTCTGCAGCTTTTCACTGTGACCTCTCGTTAGTGACACGCAGGGCACCTGTGCCCGACAGGGTTCTAACACGCCTACATTCTGGAGAGATGCGGGAGAGGTGAAGAACCACGCTCAGAGAATTAGGGTCAGGGTCTGTGCTAGACCCTCGCCCGCACCGCAGCAGGAGCCCGGTGGGTGGGGTTTCAGCTAGTCCCTCACCTCAGAGCTCAAACGTCAGGACGGGCTTCAGTCACCACTGGGGGAGCCACTTCAGGGCCTGGTCATGCTCCCTCTGCTCAGGGCATCAGGACAGCCCCCCAGGCTCAGAGAAGCTGGAGGGAAGGCAGCCTGCAGCTCCAGGCCAGGTACCTCCTGGGCCCCAACCTCTCACGGCTAAGCACAGCGCCTCAGGTCAGTCCATGTCTGACGGGCTCAGCACACACACCTTTTCATCCAGGAAGATTTCTCCTTTGAAATACGGCTGGAAGTCCTTCACTTCAGTCCTGATGTGCTCCTTCACCACCGCGTAGAGGGGGACTCCCAGCTCATCCAACTTGGGCTTCAGGGAGGACAGGTCTGCAGCCTCCTGCAGGAGACAGGAGCTCAGGGTGTGCGTGCCCGTGGTTCTGCAGCCACAGACACCCACTTCCCCACAAGCCCTGAGCGCAGGTGGCACTGAACGCAGAGGACAGAGGCAGCAGAGCCGCCGTACCAATCAAGGCGTGTGCCGCCCAGCATGAGCCCGTCCCAGTTAGGCACTGGGCCTTGGTGCAGGGTGGTCGGGCCTTCTCCCCAGCCAAGGCTTGCTGTCTTTCCACGGGGGAAGAAGTCCTGACGACAGAGCCTGAGCCCAAACATAATCCTCTGCCCGTCACCAGGACGCTCCTCTCTTTCCCCCTCTCCCAGCCCTCCCACGCTCTAGAACAAACTAGCACGGGGGCCTATCAGACAAATACTCCTGCTGCGTAAATGGCTGCCTCCAGGCCTTTGCTCAGTCCATCCCCTCCCTGCAACGACCCTCCTTCCCTCTCCAGCGCAAACCCTACCCTTGGAGAGGTATGCCCGTGCTCCAAAGTGCCCCCTGGCCAGCCTGGAGTGAAGCCCCCATTCTTGGGCACACCTCACCTGCCCTGCCTGCTGACATTTTCTGTCCCAAGTCTCTGTGTTAGGACTCAAGTATTGTCCCTTAGGTTCCCAGAGGGGTCTCACAGTTAGAAACTACGTCTTCCATTTCTTGGTATCCTTTCATGCCTAGCACATGGCTGAGCGTACAGAAAGCATTAGACACCACATGGAAAAGTCTGAAGGTGGCCGATGGGGAGGGTGCAGCCGAGCTGAGTGGGACAGACGGCCCTGGTTCTTCTGGAACGTGCCGGATGAATAATCGAAACTGCATGTGTCATGGGAGAGCTCTGACCTTAAGAACAAATTACTTTTTCACATGTGGTGTAAGAACTGCTTGCCTCCAACAAATACACCGCTGTATGGTGGCAACTATGGTTAACTTGTGGTTTGTCTTTTAGAACAAGAAAAAAAGCACAGCAAACAAAGGCGGGCTGATTACCGGACACTTACCGAGGGCATCAGTGCGTGGCAACCTCTGCGCCAGCGCGGAGAGGGCAACGTGCAGTCAGCTGTAGTCAGCAACTGCCTGTTTGTCAGCTGGAGTTAGTCACTTTCCTGGGCTCCTTCCTCTAGGTTTGTCATTGTGCAAAGCCACGAAGTAGAAACTGAGTCACACGCCTCTGCCCCAGGTCACTCAAAATGACTCACACCCCCACCCTGCATCCCTCTGGAAACCTAAGTTTCCACAAAATGCTCTGCCAGTGCACGGTCAGAGCAGAGGAAAACAGGTTACAATCAGGGACAGCAGCTGCTCTTCGAACCTTTCGGGTTTAACGGACATGGAGAAATCAAGTCACAACAGGCTTCCGTGTTGGTATTGGGAGCCAGGAACCTTTGAATAGTGTAGGCTACATAGCGAGGTGGAGTTAGGTTGCAGATGGAATTAAGGTTGCTATCAGCCGACCTTAAAATAAGGAGACCATCCTGGATCATTTATCCAGGTGGGCCCCGTGAAATCACAAGGGTCCTAAAATGTGTCTGAGTGGTGTGATGTAAGAAAGACTCGAGTGGCCACTGTTGGCTTTGAAAATGGAGGACGGGGCCACGAGCCAAGGCATGCAGGCGGCCTCCAGAGGCTGGGAAGGCAAGGAAACAGGTTCTCCCCTGGAGCCTCCAGGAGGAGCCAGCCCTGTGACACCTGACTTTAGCCCAGTGAGGCCCATTTAGACTCTGACCTCCAGAACTGAGATGATACAGCTGTGCTGAGTCTGCGGTAACGTTACAGCAGCCGCAGGAAACTCATGCGGCCCCCGAGAGCGGTGTGACTCTGTCACAACCTCTCTGCGCCTGCTTCCGCTTGCAGAACATGAGAATAACGACAAGCTTTATTTTTCAGGGATTCAGGTGAGGAACTAGGAAGATAACGAGCCTAACAGGTAAGGCACTGCAGTGTATCATACACATCCCCCAGTGTAAGCCGGCTCTTGGCCAGCCCAGCCGGGTAGGCACAGGGGAGACCAGCCAGGCTGACAGGAATGCCTCTGGGCCAGGACAGTCAGTCAGAGGAAGGGGGGGCGACAACCAGGACAGGACTAAGTTGTCTCCGGAAGAGGGATCCCGTCATTCCCAGCTCTCCCCTGGCTAGACAATGACATCAGCACTCAGGTCTTCTGCCTCTAACGCAGGCTTGACCGCCACCTGGCTGTGTAACTATGACAGGTCCCCCAGCTGCCCTGGCCCTCCGTTTATCCACCTGCAAAGTGGCGAGGCGGGACCCCAGTCAGTCCAGCGTTCCCTCCAACACCAGCATCTTGTCCTTCGACAATCACAGCTCCTGCCTTCCCTCGATATGCTGAACAGAGGACAGTGGCTGCCGTTTGTGGGGCCAAGCTGGAGACCGCCCAGTCGAGGAACTCTCATGCCGACTGCGCCCACACCGTCGGCACGCCTGACATCTCGCCGAGCATCAGGTGCAATGCCGAGGTTCACACAGCAGAGCAGCAGAGCTGCCAGCTCCAGTGTGTGGCACTCAGCTGTCCAGGGAAGACTCCAGGCAGGTCCCAGAGCGGAGAGACGGCAGGTCATCCTACAAGTGTGACCTTGCAGAGCTTCCCTGTATGCGCAGCTGTGCCACTGGCAAGGGCTGGCCACCCTGCATCAGTCATAAACCAGACTTCTCATCTCCGTAAGCCTGTCCCTGTCCTGAACATCAGGTACACGGAATCGCCCCCTCCCTGCCCCTGATGAAAGGGGAGGAGAATCCAGGACACAGGAAGCACAACACAGGGTAAAGGGTTTGGGAGTACCAAAAAAAGCCAGATGTGTCGTAACCCCAGCAGGAGATGGTGAATTGTTAAATTAACAGAAACAGAGCATACGTCAAAAGAAATACCCAGAGAAAGAACAGAGACCAGGCCAGTGCTCACTGAGGCTAAAGCGGGCCTCCAGACCCTTGGTCCTGGCTGGAAATGCACGGCCCAACCTGACAAGACCCTTTAACTGGGCAGACCCTTGAATGCACTCACCTCGCGACACAGGAAACAGCCTGGCCTCCGCACAGCCATAATCACAGCGCCTTTCTCCTCCCAGAGCTCCTTTGCTTTGAAAGTCCTGGGTTCTGAGGGAAAAGAAAAGGGTATCCCGTGATCTCCCCAGCCCAGCCCACTGGACTTCCAGGCATCAAGCAAGTCCTCAAACCCCTGGGCCCCGTCCCCAGCAGAAACCAGGCCTAGTAGAGGGCAAGGATGGGCACTTCATGGGTGGGACAAGGCAAGCAGGACACAGTCAGGGCACACTCAGACTCCGGAGGAAAATTAACGCAGCGCACGACTGTACACCCCAAGAGTCCTACTCGCAATCTGTTTTTACACTTGAACATCCTAAACTGACAGATTATTGGAAAAGAGCAATTTCCTTTTTTTGCTGGTGTCACTGGACATTGTAACAATCCTTTAGGGCAGAACATGGCCAAAATCTAGAAGTGATTGTAAACTTTCACAAAAATAAGCCCCACTCTTAAAAATGTATTTGAAGACGTTAAGTCAACAAATTAATTTTTTTTTAACCTAAATATGTTAACTGCAACACTCCCGAGAGGGGAGGGCAGACGGTGCCAAGAGGAAGCTTTCAGGTAGTACAGGCCTGCCCTTCAAGCCCAGCCCCTGCTCGGACTAAGCCGGAATCTAGCTGTGTGCGTGCAGTGGGGCACCTACTTCCCCTGCTACCCTCAGGTTCCTTATGTGACTTGTAATAGTAGCAATGGTAGCGACCACTCTGGGCTGCGGTATTAAAAGACAGACGGACATAAAAGTGTTCACCACAGTGTCTGGGAGGAGAGAAGTGGGGAGGGCTTGACAAGGATAAACCCTTCTTATTTAGTACTTCCCAGAGGGATCCATGTCCACCCAGCAGGGATGCCATGTCAGGAAAAAAAAGGGGTGGGGTGGGGAAGAAGTCTATCATCAAATGAGACTGGGAAACACTGGGTTCAACTAAGTGAAACAGGTCGCTTCCTGGAGGGCTTCTTAGTCCCTTACCAAGGTGGCCCACATTATCAATCTGCACATCACAGCTCCTGCCTTCCCTCAGCACACTGAACAGAGGACAGTGGCTTTCCATTTGCAGGGCCAAGCTGGAGACTGCCCAGTCGAGGAACTCATCCTACAAATGTGACCTTGCAGAGCTTCCCCATATATGCAGCTGTACCGCTGGGTAAGGGCTGACCACCCTGCATCAGTAATAAACCAGACCTCTCATCTCAACAGGGCTACCCCTGTCCTAAGCATCAGAAACATGGGATCAGATAAAGAGTGTTTCCCAAACTTATTTGACTCAGGAACCCCTTTTCATGAAAATCTCATAAGCCTGGAATTACTTAGAACACAATCTGGAAGGGCTGGTTTAGTAAACAACTGTACAGTATTACTAAATATCATGGAGCAATTTGCTAATATAATCACAGAGAGAAGAACAGGAAGTGACAAACTCTTCTGGTAAGGAAAAGCTAAAATGTAAAGGCACTTACACCAAGACCACAACTATGTAAAATATGTACGTATACATGAAAAAGAATGTGCATAAATAAAAATAAGTATCGCGTTGTTGCTTAGATGCCATCGAGTCACTTCCAACCCATCGTGATCCTGCGCCGTCCTCACAATCACTGCCAGGTTTGAACCTACTGTGGGAGCCACTGTGTCAATCCAGCTCGTCAAGGGTCTGCCTCTCTTTTACTGACCCTTCACTTTACCGAGCATGATGTCCTTCTTCAGGGACTAGTCCTTCCTGATAACATGTCCAAAGTATGTAAGACAAAGTCTCACCATCCTTGCTTCTAAGGAGCATTCTGGCTGCATTTCTTCCAAGACAAACTTGTTCTTTCTCCTGGCAGTCCATGGTATAGTTAGTATTCTTTGCCAGCACTGTAATGCAAATGCATCAATTCTTCTCAGTCTTCCTTATTCACTGTCCAGCTTTCACATGCATATGAGGTGATTGAAAATACCATGGCTTGGGTCATGTGTACCTTAGTCCTCAAAGTGACATCTTTGCTTTTTAACACTTTAAAGAGTTCTTTTGCAGCAGATTTGCCCAATACAATATGTCATTTGATTTCCTGACTACTGCTTCTGTGGGTGTTGATTGTGGATCCAAGTAAAATGAAATCCTTGACAACTTCCGTCTTTTCTCCATTTATCATGATGTTGCTTATTGGTCCAGTTGTGAGGATTTTTGTTTTCTTAATGTTGAGGTGTGATCCATAGTGAAGCCTGCAGTCTTTGATCTTCATCAGTAAGTGCTTCAAGTCCTCTTTACTGTCAGCAAGCAAGATTGTATCATCTGCATATTGCAGGTTGTTACTGAGTCTTCCTCCAATCCTGGTGCCCTATTCTTCTTCATACAGTCCAGTTTCTTGGATTATTTCCTCAGCACACAGAATGAGTAAGTATGGTGAAAGGATACAACCCTGACGCACGCCTTTCCTAATTTTAAATTATGCAGTATCCCCTTGTTCTGTCTGAACGACTGCCTCTTGGTCTATGTACAGTGTGATGGTTAAGATTGTGTGTCAATTGCACTGGGCCATGATTCTCAGTGTTTATATGTGATCACTCCCATGATAGAGTCTGCTGTGAGTAGCCAAGCAGTTGAAAGGGAGTTTCCTTGAGGGTGTGGCCTGCATCCGAATATAAGCGGACATTCTGGCTTTTTGCTCGCTCTGGATCCTGCGGCTGCCTCCTGTTTGTCTGACCTCCAGTTCTTGGGGCCTGAGCTATCAGCTTATCTGCCGATCTTGGGATTCCTCAGTCTTCACAGCCTGTGAGTGGGAGCCCTGCTCTCCAACCTGCTGATCTAGCCCCTGTGGCTATGTGCATCAAGAGAAGCCTCTATCCTGATCCAAGGACTTGGGATGTTCTGGCCTCTACAATCGATGAACCATTTCTTTGACATAAATCTCTTTCAATATGTTTATACGCTTTACTGGTTTTGCTTCTCTAGAGAACCCAGCCTAAGACATACAGGTTCTGCATGAGCACAATTAAGTGTTTTGGAATTCCCATTCTTCACAAGGTTATCCATAATTGGTTATGATCCACACAAATGCCTTTGCACAGTCAATAAAACACAGGTAAACATCTTTCTGGTATTCTCTGTTTTAGCCAAGATCTATCTGACATCAGCAATGATATCACTCGTTCCACGTCCTCTTCTGAATCCAGCTTGAATCTCTGGCAGTTCCCTGTCGATGTACTGCTGCAACCATTTTTGAATTATCCTCAGCAAAATTTTACTTGTATGTGATATTTATGATATTGTTCGATAATTTCTGCATTCTGTTGGATCACCTTTCTTTGGAATGGGCATAAATATTGGTCTCATCCACTCCGTTGGCCAGGTAGCTGTCTTCAAAATTTCTTGACATAGATGAGTGAGCACTTCCAGTGTTCCATCCGTTTGTTAAAATATCTCAACTGGTATTCAGTCAATTCTTGGAGTCTTGCTTTTTGCCAGTGTCTTCAGTGCAGCTTAGACTTCTTCCTTCAATACTATCGGCTCTTGATCATATGCTACCTCCTGAAATGGTTGAACAGCAACCGTATCTTTTTGGTATAGTGACTCTGTGTATTCCTTCCATCTTCTTTTGATGCTTCCTGCATCATTCAATATTTTGCCCATAGAATCCTTCACTATTGCACACTCAAGGTGGGAATTTTTTCTTCAGTTCTTTCAGCTTGAGAAACGCTGCGCATGTTCTTCCCTTTTGCTTCTAACTTCAGGTCTTTGCACATTTCATTATGATACTTTTCTTTGTCTTCTCAAGCCACCCTTTGAAAGCTTCTGTTCAGCTCTTTTACATGATCATTTCTTCCTTTTACTTTAGCTACTGGGCAAGTTTCAGAGTCTCTTCTGACATCCATTTTGGTCTTTTCTTTCTTTCCTCTCTTTTAAGTGACCTTCTGCTTTCTTCATGTATGATGTCCTTGATGTCATTCCACAACTTGTCTGGTCTTCAGTCATTAGTGTTCAACGCATCAAATCTATTCTTGAGATGGTCTCTAAATTCAGGTGGGATGTACTCAAGGTCATACTTTGATTCTCCTGAACTTGTTTTAATTTTCTTCAGCTTCAGCTTGAACTTGTTTCTGAGCAATTGATAGATATGTTTCACAGTCAGCCCTGGCCTTGTTCTGACTGATGATATCAAGCTTCTCCATCATCTCTTTCCACAGATGCAGATGGAATTATCGGTCATTTAAAAAGTGTTATTAAATTTTTCCTAATGTTGCTAGCTATACAGCCTTTTCAATAAAAAAGAGCTGTTTAGAAAGAAAGAAAGCAAAAAAAAAAAAAAAAAAAAAAGTAACACCGAGTCCCAGCGCCTTGGAAAAGTACTGAGACCGGCGGGTCACCACTTACCCTTCCCCAGTGTTTTCAGTTCTATGTCCTCCAGATACTCCAGCGTTGCTTTCTGGGGTTTGGACAGAAAGATGTCTGTGTTGGCCAGAAGCAGTGCCACGGCAGCAGCCCCGAGGGCCCCCACACCAATGGACCACATCCCCATGGTAAAGAAACTTTGGTCCTGAAGGAAAGACATTTCTGGAGATTGAGAGGAAGGAAGAAAGCGTTACTGCTCCCACAGGATAGCTGGAATCTGATCTTCCTTGCAAGGCTGTTGCTGGGCGGGCAGCCAGCCAGGAGGCACGGAGACGAGGGGAAGGAAGGGACAGCAGCGTCAGAGATGAGACCACACAAGGGCTGCTGAGCATCTGCTGCTACAAGAGTCTAGGGATCCCACAGTCACATGGCAGCTCCTGCCCGGAGGAGCTCACCAAGTAGCCAGGAGCAATGACAGAGACCTGCCAGCCTTTCCGGATGCTTCTCTTGTCTCCTTCTCCCCGACCCCCAAGGCTGTGGCCCTGAGTCTGTGGTGCCCTTCCACACTACATCCCCTCATTCCCCTCCTGGTCAGTACCTGTCTCCTTCACAATCCGCTGGCTCAGCTATTGCCTCCCTGGGGAAGGGGCAGCTTTTTCTTCTGTGATCAGAGGAGACTCAGAACACCAACCACACCACGCTGCTACCTCTCTTTCCTCCTCTTCAGTCTTCAGTGCCTGAGAAACAGAGCCCACAGCCCACCATCCAGCCCGTCAGTGCCTGCAGAACCTCGCTCATGGGAGGTATGTACTCTCAGTAAATTTCCACCAACTGCAAATAACTTTAGTGCTTACTCATTACAGAAATAAAAGAAGCTCATGGAAAAAACAAAAAAGAGACACAGTACATCTACCACTCAGAGATGATCACTGTTAAACTCTGGTATCTCATCTGACATTTTTTTCCTGTGAACAGAGCTACACGGATGATAGTTGACTGAATGGCAGCAGAAAGAGCAAGGTGCTGGAGGGTCTGCTGCAGCAGAGGGTGGGTGCTCTGCCACTGCAATGGAGTTGCAGGCAGGTCCTGCCAGAGTCCAGCCTTGTCCCCAGCTCAAGCCCAGGTGTCTCACTGAGACTCCTTCCAGCTGGGAGGCCTTGTGCTTCTGGGTGGGAGCTCCTGGAAGCAGCCTAGCCCCGCACCAGAGGCAGAGACCCAATCCAGCCTTCTTTCTCCTGACAACCACTTACAATATCTCCCTTTCCATTTGGCCCTCACGCCATCCTAGCATCTGGCTTATATTGGGGCCTTCCTCCCTAAGGACCAGTCTGATTCACTGAGGGGAAGCCTGGGTGCGTGGGTGGGCAGCCCAACTAGCCTCACACTCACCTCTCCCTTGCAAGAGCTGGCTGAGAAGAGAATTCTTCTAAAGGACTGAGCAAAGGCCTGGAAATCCTTGTGACATGCCAAGGGAGGGCGCTGCCAGGGGCCCACCACCATAAGGCTGGGGTGGGAGTAGCTCAGTGATGGCGACTTTGGGGGGAAAGAGCAGGACAGACTAGAGTATGCCGGCCTGAGCAGTTCAGTCAGGAAATAAAAGGGAGCTTCCAGGCAGGGGATGATCAAATGAAAACAGCATTGAAGAAAGAAGAACTTGGCATCTCAGGAGAGGAAAAGGTGGGGAGGCCAGTGCGTGTGTGGTGAGGGTGGGCTGGAATCTTAGACTGGAGGGACTCTGCTGGGAGTCCGTGGTCCTGGACCGCAGCCCTGGCATCACCTGAGGCCTCGTCAGAAACCACTCCACAGCCCCACATCAGAACTGTGGCACTCCACACCACCTTTCCTTCAGATCAGCAGGCAGGTCACATGCATGCTAAAGTCTGAGAAGCTTAGTCCTAGAGCAAAGCATGCAGGATTTCGTGCCTGGCTGGCCATAAGCCACAGAATAAAGTACAGCCTTTGGGGCAGGCTGGCCTTGGACAGCTAGGCCCTACTCACTCCCCAGGTCACTGTGGGAGGGCAGCCATGGTTCTAGTAACACAAAAGACACAAACATATCTCCATGCTACTGCCTGCAGGCCCCACCTTGTTCTAGTCTCAAGACCCAGACGCCTCTTCAGGAAGCCTGCGGAACCCTGCCCACCCCCTACTCCCACCCCAAGAGGTGTTTATTCACTGCCTTCTCTCTTGTGTGTCACACCTCACCCACGACCCTTCCAACGTGTCTGACAAACTGACATGGGCCCACGTTTGTCCGTTCCTCACCCCAAATCTCCGATGGCCGGCACAGGGCCTGTCGTCAGTGTGTCTGACATGAATTTAGAATTGATGGCAAAGACGAACACTGATGGAAGGCCAAAGTTTTGGGTCACGCAGGAAAGAACAACCTTCAATGGGCCTGCTCCAATCTTTTTATGTGGCCAGGTTACACCTTACCGGATTACAGCTCACAGAACAATTGGGGGGAAACCACATCTCTCACCTGCTGTAAACAGGAGACTCCCCGGAGCCTGGAACAATCTACCTTCATGCACTTCCAAAGCCTCCCTGGCATCCTGACGTGTATGACTCAGAACACGTGGCTGGGTCCCTGATCAGATCTGATAAACGCCTCTGAGTGAGCACACAAAGGCCAATGCAGACCTACCGTACAAGAGGATTCATGTCCACTCGTGGGACACATCAGTGCATTTCCAGAAGTTCAAGGACCTTCACTGTCCCCCTTTCTTAAATAGCACTTCGGGAGGACACAAAACTAAATGACACACAATTCTCAGGCAGATGCAGACCTAGTACATAGATAACAGAAATGCCGGTGGGAAGGCGAGGCACTGGGGCCACTATGGGAATGTGGGGATGAGATGCGGTAATGTCTGGCCTGGGCAGACACAGGAGGACACAGAGGGAAGTGGTTTGGGGGCAGGTGTAGGACTCAGGGGCAGGAGGAGAGGGCTGGGAAGGGCCTGCGCTAAGCAGCAGGCTGACTGGGGGATAGACATCTGTGCCGAAGGTACCCTGAGAACTCAAACGTCCATGTTCCAATGGTCCCCTCCACCCCTCACGTTCAAGGGCAGATGAGCGAGAGGTGAGCTTCAACACTACCTGGAGCCTTGCTTTCCACCCCCTGGCTGCGCTGCAGCGAGTGTGAGCAGAGAACTGGCCCTTTGGTGGCCCTCACCCTCAGGCCTGCAGCATTGGGATGTGACAGTGCTACCAGGACTAGGGGTGAGAGGTGGGCTGCCCAGTGGGCCTCACAGCGGGCTCCTCTGCTGGGCGGGAGCAGTGAACACCAGTGAGAGGGTGCAGGGCCAGCCCCTGGGCCAAGGGCCCCCAAAGCTACAAAGCATTCTCATCTCAACATGTCCTAGAGTGTGCCCACGGAACCCTGCTTCACAGTGAGGGCACACAGCTACCCACCCCGAGAGAGGGGCAGAGAGCTTCAGGATCTCAACGAGACAACGCCCTTCCACATGGGCCTCGGCAAACCAGCACGCACTGAGTGCTACTAGATGTACGTGTCCTAGTTTGACTGGCACAGCAGTCTTGTGGTGCAGATGATCGTGTCCTACAGTGACAACACGGAGGCTCACAGAAGTTCACAGAGCCAGCAAGCAGCAGTCCTTGGGCCCAGATCTCCCAGTCCTTCCCGTCACACCTTGACTCTTACACCTTCAGGAGAGAGTTTCTGCACATCAAAGGGTAGGAGCCCCTCTGTCTCAAAGAGAAAGAAGACCAACTTAGTTTCTGAGTTATCAAATAGTCAAACTGTATTTACTCTAAAGGAAATTTACCATACAACAGATGTCCCTTCTCTTCCCTCCCCTTTCTATGCTACGGAAAGGGTCAGTTTCTCTGAAAGCTAACAGCAAGGCTGTTTACAGAAGACACAGCCCCCACCTGATGCAGCCAGTTTTCAGTTCCCCACCGCAGCTATCTGCTCGGTCCTCTCCCACAGAAGGTGAAGCCAGAAGACCACAGATAACAACAGCTGTGGCAGCTCAGGGTGGCAGCTCTGCTCTGGGGTGAGCGTGGGGGTGCAGGACAGCTACGTTCCCTGGGCCAAGGTGGCTCCATCCTGCCCCAGGCCTCATTTCCCTCAAATCCAAAACTGGGGGGAGGAGGGGTGCTGGGCAAGGTGAGTACTAAGGCTCCTAGAGCTCCCAGTGACGTCTCCTGATTCCATCAAAGCCAGCTCCCCCCTGGAGTCTGCTCATTCCTGGTTCCTCCTCACAGCTACGCACCCCACCACATTTCCATGTCCGGCTCATCTCTTCACTGTCACCTCTGATTCACCAGACGCCTCCCCTCCCAGCGCATACCTGCCCCCCATCCCCAAGCTCAGGCAGTTCAAACCATCCGCAACATTGACACCCGTTCCTGCTGACAGAGGCTGACTCACAGCGAGGGGGAGTGGGTACGAGGCAGGCAGGCATCAGCGAGGGCGCTCAGAGCTCAGGCACTCCACAGATGGGGACCAGGCCACTCAGAAGCCCGGGACTCCTCCAGCTGCCAACAGTCAACCTCCAGGAAACATCAGAGTGGGGACCTGCCAGGGCCCCCCAACCCTTCAAACACTTGAGCAGAGCTCTGAGTCACTGGCAGTCATGCAGGCTGTGACACTGACCGAGTGCCAGCAGCCTCCCGCTCTGATACCCCGCGCAGCCAGTGGAGCAGAGCCCGCAGTGCAGCGCCCTGACAGTCAGCTGCCCCCCGCCGCTGAGGACACAGTGTGCGTTCCCGTGTGAACACACGCACCTCGTATGGCGTGTAAGCAGGGGTGCCGTCCCTTTCTCTATGGCTCCTGGGGCCCTTGCCCAGGAAGTCGCCAGCAGCTCCCGAGGCCCCTCGTCTGCCGCCCGTCCTTCACCTCCCTTGCGTTTTCTCCTTCTGCCACGTCAATGGCTCCTCTCCATCCACACGCCCTTCCTGGACGACCCACCTACTCCCAGGGCTTCCACCACACCTTGCCACTGACTTCCAAGTCCCTATTGCTATTCTGGACCCAAAGTTTCCACTTGCAGGTTCTGCAAGCAACTCAGCTGCACCGTGTCCAAAACCGACCTCCTCCAAATCAGCTTCTCTTCCAGAGTCTCCAAGGTGAGCAAACGGTACAGCCAGAAACTGCGAGCCACGTTTCACTCTTCCTCCTCCCTTCTGCCCACATCTCACCAGTCACCAAGTTCTGTCCATCCTATAAAATGTGTATGCGACCCATCCTCCTCTCAACCTCACTGCTGCCGTCCAAGCCAGCCCCACCTGGCCTGTCTCAATAATGGCAGAACTGGCCTTGGCTCAGCTCCAGTCTCGTCCTCTACAGCTCACACTCCATGCTGTAGCCAGAGCGATCCCAACGCACCGTCCCACGCTTCCAGGCCCTCACCCAGACTGAACCCCAGCACAACCGGCAGGGCCCCTTACCGCTTAGCCTCAGTCCCACAATCTGGCCTCTTCCCTGTCACTTCACGGCCCATCAGACCACTCCAGGTGCAAGGACCACAACACGTGCTGTCAAGCCTCCACACTGACAAACGTGTTGTTTCCTTCACCCAGAATGCCCTCTCACCCAGGCCAACCAGGTGAATGCCTCTTTATTTGCAAGGTCCAGAACAAATAACAGTCTCTCCAAAGCCTGTTCCGAAAGCCTCCAACTGCAGCCACTCTGATTACATAGTGTGCGTGCATGTGTGCACACACGCACCTTTGTGTTGTACAAGCAAACGGACTCTGTATTTTAGTT